TGGGTGTGAGGTCGAGGTTTTACTCTTCACCAAGATATCGTCCACATATACCTCGATATTTCGCCCGATCTGAGATTTGAACATTCGATCCATCAGCCGTTGGTAGGTTGCTCCAGCATTCTTAAGTCCAAAAGGCATGACGACATAGTAGTACGTCCCTTTACTCGTCACGAAGCTCACCTTACTTTGATCTTCCGGGCATAACGGGATCTGGTGGTATCCCTGAGATGCATCCATCATACTCAATAATTCGCAACCAGCCGTAGAGTCGACGAGCTGATCAATTCCTGGTAAGGGATAATGATCTTTTGGGCAAGCCAAGTTTAAGTCACGGAAATCGATGCACATGCGCCATTTGTTTAGCGCCTTTCTCACCATCACGGTGTTGGATATCCACTCGGGAAATTAGATTTCTTTGACATGCCCTGCCCGCAGCAACTTATCCACCTCGACTTCAATTGCTTTGTCGATTTCTTCACCATGACGCCTAAGTCGCTGTTTTACTGGCTTTCTGAGGGGGTCGACGTTGAGTTTATGTTCCATAATAGCGGGGTCGATCCCTGTCAACTCCTCAGGGGTGAAGGCGAAAATATCCCTGAACTCCTTTAGTAGTGTGATCAGTTGGTTTCGTAGCTCGACTTTCAGATCTTTCCCGATCTTAGTGATCTGTTCCTTTGTTTCTCCGATTTGTATTTCCATTAGCTCCCCGTGTGGTTCGAGATCACTATTCCTTGGCCTTTTCTCGCTCATCATTGGCTTCTTTCCCTCCTTAACTTTGGCCCGTTGGTTGGTTTTTACAGCGATTTGATAACAAGTCCTCGACAGCTTTTGATCGCCTCGAGCTTCTCCAACTTGGTCTCCGACTGGGAACTTTAGCTTCATATGGTAGGTCGATATTACCGCCTGGAATGCGTTAAGTGCTGGCCTCCCTAGGATCGCATTGTAAGCTGACTCGACATCAACCACCACGAATCTCACCATTTTTACCTTCCACAAGTCACTTTCCCCTAGAACGACAGCGAGCATGGTTTCACCTAGGGGCGCGACCTCTGACCTGTTGAAACCAAACAGTAAGGTATGGAGGGGTGCGATCTGTATGTCGAGTTCCATTCTTTTGAGACAATCGTAAAAAATCACATTTACAGAACTCCCAGTGTCGACAAACACTCTCTGCACTTCATATCCCGATATTTGGGCCGTTATCATCAATGCGTCGTTCTGAGGCCTCTCAACTTCTCCCGCATCTGCTGGACCGAAGTTTATTACCGGTCCATTCTCATCGACTTATTGTATCTCGACTTTCCCATGGCGCCCTCGGGCATACGCCTTCCTTGCTCGATTCGAATCCCCATCAGTTGATCCTCCAAAGATCATATGTATGGTTCCCCTTTTCTGTGGGAGCTCCTCTTTCTCCGGCGTTCTCGCCCTCTTGCGAGGGCTCCTGCTCCTTTCCCTCCTTCTGTTCGACTTTTCTCGATCC